GCAGAAGCCCTCCCAGCTGTGCAGCGACACCCAGTGCCCCACGGCCCGTCCCCTCCAGGGTGGAGGGGACAGCTCGGGGTGCAGCAGTGCGTGTCCTGGGGGCACCCTGACACGCCATGCCACCTTCCTGAGTCCCAGCGCTGCTCCACAGGCCATGGAACCAGGGCAGGACTTTCCAGCATGGTGGCCGGGATTTGGCCTTGGGGTTGGCTAGGCTCTCTGCCGTGGGGCTGTGCCCACCCTGGGACAGATCCTTCCCAGCATTTACCTGTGCCTGACCTTGGCCACACAGCTGCTGGGGATGTGGCACTCCTTGCCAGACACCTCAGATGCCACCAGCCACCACTCCCCGTCCCTGTGGGGAAGGTGGACGAACCGTCCTGAGGGGCTGAGGCTGCTGCGCTCAGGGAGGAGACCAACCTCCCCCCAGGACAGGTGCCACCATCATAGCCCTGCAGGCTGCACGCTAGGTGGGAGTGCCTGCTCGGTGTAGGGACTTACTCGGAGAGGACACGGAGCTGCTCCCCCATCCTCAGGACGGCAGCTGCCCCTCCGCCAGAGGGGAAGTCGCAGAGGGCCAGGAAGCTGCTGGGAGCTGCGGGGAAGGTGAGGGAGCTCAGAGCTCCCCCAGCACCCCCAACTCCAGCTGGGGGGCGGGAGGACCATGCACACTGGAGGATGCTGCCCAAGCTGGCAGCTGCCAGGTGCTTACCTGCCTGTGTGGGCAGCGGGGGCTGCATGGCGTTGGCAACCGCTGGCAGGATGCTCATTGGCTTCTCCCGGCTGGGGAGACTCCCCATCCCTCAGGGTCAGCACGTGCCCCTGGTCCGCAGCCACTGCCGGCTGCCAGGGAAGGAGAGGCTCAGGCCCGGTGGCAGCAGTACCGTGGGCCCTGGGCACAGCCCGGTGCGATGCCACAAGCTCCACAGCACAGCTGTGTCGGGACGCAGCCTCGTGTGTCCAGGGTGCGGTGGCTCCCAAGAAAGGCAGCGCCGGGACAGGGCTCTGGGCTGGGGCTGAGCCCAGCAGGCAGCTCCCTGGGGAGCCCTTCGAGGAAACCACCTCCTGTTCCCC